TAGACGGTCTCCTTGACATTGTGGAGAAAAACTTACTAAATTTGTATAAAATCATTAAAATAAGGAGAGAAAGAATTTATTTACTAATATTTTTGTGGCTATCTCTCATGCCACATGTGCAACGTGCACATTATAACATTGGAGATGCCCTAACTATAGTTCAAAGGAGTAGTACTTTGTTATATACTTTTAACCCAACTATAATTTTGTAAATAATTTGTTATCTAACATTATTTTAGGAAAAAACTCAATTCATCTTCATTAAGAATATCAATAATACAAGACGGAACATGATTAAAGATCCCTCAAGAAGCATAATTAATAGACTCAAGTGTGGGCACTCCTATTTGCTTTTTGACTAATGAAAACAACTTTAAAATTGTTGTTTGTTGCTAATAGAAGCAAAGATGAAGATGCGTTCATATGTTAACATTATTATTTCCTGATTTGTTTTACAGTCCTGTAAGCCATTCGCAAACGGCGGCTAGAAAATCTAATAACATACGTAATTATTTTAAAGTTGAAGTGTAAGTGGAGAAAAGGAGTACTCCGTATTTGAGAAGACAATTAATTCGATTTCTTGATCTGAAGTGAAACAATATTAGAATCATAGAATGATGTTCTGCTTCCGAATTCCAATCAATCATAGATAATTCTGTAATGTAAACCTAAAATTAAAAGGATTGAAGATTGGAAATCCAGGCATGACGATCCCAATGGAGATGAACCCTGATTCTGTGTTTGGGGTAAATTAGAGTGTGGATATCTCCTGGGGAATGGAAGGACACGTAATAACGCCGGGTGCCGAGCTTCCCGCTGATCCGCCCCACCCACCACCCGTCGTTGTCAAAAACGTCGACCGCCTCGTCCATGTGGAATTCCGCCGCCCTGATCTCCGGCGGATGCGGCCTGACCTCCGCGGCACTCACCGCCTCCCGCAGCGGCCCGGAAAGGTCGTCCTTGACGAGAGTGTTGTACTGGACTATGTAGCCCTTGCCGCCGGGCAGCTCCTCCACCACCGTGGCCTCGTAGTACGACCCCACGAACCCTTCGGCGTTGCTCGCCACCTCCACGCGCTCGCCTCTCCGGTACCCCACCGTCTGCACAGTCCTCATGATTTTTTTTTTCTTTCTTTCTGTGGTAATAACATATAGGGGGATTTATCCAAATAGGAGTAAATAATTCTTTAATTGCCAAAATAGGACTTAAAATTACAAATTCCCTAAATAGGAGTTATTATAGGTAGTTGGACAAAAACACCCCTGAATGTGGTAAAACACACTGCTGATGACTGAACTCGGACTGCCGCCGGATTGCCGCGTGCCGCCGCCGGACCGCCGCAGGTCGCCGGCTGACTTCGCCTCAAAAATAGCCGCCGCTGCAGATCTGGCCGCTGTCATCGTAGATCTGGCCGCCACCGCCATAGATCTGGCCTCCGTTAGCTTAGATCTGACCAGATCTGGTATCCGACCGCCGCCGCGGCAAATTCAACCTCCGCCACTACATGTTCGGCGTCTGCCACTGCAGATCTGAAGCCATCGTAACTGATATCAACATTTATATCAAATGCCAACATGAGTCGAGAATGCTATCTTAGTGGCATTTGCAAAGGAAAATGTGGCATTTTCGAATAGTAAAATTCCATCTTCATGGCATTTTTAAAACAAAATTTGGCATTTTTTTAAGAACCAAAGTAAATAGAAGCAAATTTCCATCCATGAATGTCAAGCATCTCAAATTTCCCGATGAAACAAAAGAGGGCAAAGGAGAGACATAGAATAGCTAGAGAGGAGGAGTTGAGGAAGATGAAGAATGAAAAGATAGCAACGAGAGAATACAAGCCTCAATTTCACCACCAGATCTGAATCAATGCTCGCCGCCGGCCGCCGCTAATCGTCGTGGCTCCTTCGCTGCTTGCTGCCGACCGCCGCTTCTCGCCGTGGATCCTTTGCCGCTCGCCGCCGGTTGCTATTGCTTGCGTTTTTCATCGCAGCTCATGGCTCCCAGCTGGATTCTGTTCTCATTTGCAAACTCTCATTGCAGACTTCAAAAAGAAAGAGAGAATGACGCATGGGTGTTAATCGTAGAGTTAAATGGGGCATGGGGTAAAAGTGGTATAAAGATCCTATTTAGGGAATAAAAGTATACACACTCCTATTTTGGAATTTAAACAACAATTTAGTCCTATTTAGGACAAAAAACCGTAACATATATATATAACAACAGATCGATCGATCGACTACTCCCTATTTATTTCTTTCTTTCCCGAATATTTTCAACCAATCACATTATATTACGAGTAGTATACGGACACCAGTTTTGTCATTTACATTTTAGTCCCTAATAAAGAAAAGAAGACTACGTCAAACACAACAACATCACCGGAATCAAATCACTAATCATTTTTTGGGTCTACTAAAACAGACCATTAATCAACACAATAATATGGTGGATTACTGAGAATTCACATCAATTCTGTAAATTAAAAAATATCATTTCAAAAGAAAAATCAGCCTTGCCCAAGTAAGACGGATTGGCGTAATTGTGATTATCTCATCACATTTTGAATAGAAAATTCAACCGATCGAATTCATTGTCTGATGTGGGAAGTTCATGTGTGATCGTATGATCCCTAAGTTCCAAGTAGGGGTGCAAATGAGCCGAGCCGCTCGTGAGCCGCTCGTGAGCCGCTCGGTCAAAGCTCGAATCGAGATCGGTCAAACTCGAGCTCGAGCCGAGCTCGAGCCGGCTCGTTAAGCAGTCGAGCCAGAAACGAGCCTACTGATTTTAGGCTCGCTAGCTCGCGAGCCGGCTCGCGAGCCTAGTTTTATGTGTGTATATTTAATTAGTATATGTAATATATTAATATACAATACAAATTAATATATAATACGGAGTATATATTAGTATATGTAATATATAATATAAATTAGTTATATATATATATATATATATATATATATATATATATATACTACCTCCGTTCTCTTTTAATTGCAACGTAGGACTTTTTGCACTATTCATATATTCTACTTTGACTATAGTTTATTTATTAACGTATTACAAATTAAATTTTCAAAAAATATTTTTAAACTCTTCTCATTATAAATTTTCAAAATCTGAATTTTTAAATTTTTTTACTAGTAAGGAATGAAAGATATTAACGGTCAAACTTGTGCGTTGACAAACGTGAAAAGTGCACTGTTGCAATTAAAAAAGAACGGAGGAAGTATATAATACTGATTCATAAATGTATATGAGGACCGGAGAGATATTATTAATTATAAAGTAATTTAACAAAAATAATCAAAGTTTCATCCACTATTTCTTAATGGGTTGATCACTTTTGATTTATATTTGAAGTACAATTGGGTGGAGACTTGAAGTTAGAATTGTATTTTGTTTATTTTCCCGTAAGGTTTAGTTATTGGGCATGTAAATTGCAATTTGCAAATGTTAAGCACATATATTTAAAGATTGTTTCATACTTGAGCTCGAGTTCGAACACGAACTTTCGAGCTAATTGAACTTGTAACTTTTGAACGAACCAAAATTATCTAGCCGAACCGAGCCGAGTCGAGCCAAATCGAGCCGAATCAATATTTGCGAGCCGAGCTTGAGCCCGGATTTTTTAAGCTCGTTCGAGCCGAGCTCGAGCTCGAGCCAATACAATATAATTCGAGCTCGAGCTCGAGCCTACATAAACTCGGGCTCGGCTCGGCTCGTTTGCACCCCTAGTTCCAAGCAGGCCTCAAGTCGTGTTTCTCTCTCATCCTTCTTCCCTTCATACTTTTGCATCAAAACTTCTCAAAGCTTTTTAATTTCATACCATGACTTTTTCACATAGTAATATAAGTATGTGATTAATTTGGAGAACTGAAATGCAACTACTAGAATAACATTGGCCTGGAACAACGTGGCGACATCGCAATGTGATCGGCTGAGAAAACTTGGGTACCAAAACACACTTGCAAAATTCCTTTTGTACACGTCGGTCAAATTATCTGTGTGCAAACAATTTGACCGGCTACAAAGACAATTTGAAAGGCGTTTTATGGAGAAAACTGATTTTCACACGTACAGAAATAAACAAATTGTCTGTATCACAGGCACTTTATGAAAAATTCCGGTCTAAAATGTCTGTGATACAAACAACTCTTTACTTTTTGTCTGTGTGGAAATCGATTTTCTTCATAAAACGTCGGTCAAGTTGTTTGTGTAGCCGATCAAATTGTCTGTACACAGATAATTTGACCGGCGTGTACACGAAGCGGGACTCAACACACTTATTTAGGCAGGTATTGTAGAAATTTCCCTCTCATTCTCCGTATATATATTATGTAGTACGTAATACTTCCTCCGTCACGAAGAATTCGCCAAATTGACTTTTCTTGATCAATGACAATCAACTTTGACCAATTATATTTTTTAATACGAAATTATTTAGAATATGAAAATTATATCAAAATGTTCTTTATTCAAAATATTTTCATAAAAGTATAAAATTTACACGTAATATACATATATAATAATCGAAATCATTGTCCAAGGTATGTCATCATTGACCAAGAAAAGTGACGAAACTTTTAGGGACGACGGTAGTATATAATATGGGTGTTCGTGAGTCCGGTTTTGTCCGTGTCAGTTTTATCCGTTTAAGTATTAGAAAAGGTGAAATCGTAAATCGAACCACACTACTTGAATCGGTTTCGATTCGGTTTTGGTTCGGTTCAGTTCGGCCGATTTTATAAGTTTCGGTTGATTTTGGCATGTTTTTGTCGGGTTTTTTGGCCGCTTTCAGTTCTGTCTGTTTTTTAACCCAAAGGTGGAACCGTAAACTGAACCGCCAATGGTTAATCGGTTTTAGTCGGTTTCGGTCGGTTTTGATTTTTCAGTTTTTTTGTTCACACTTCTCATGTGCTTGGTTTGGAAATTGGAACATGAGTTAGCCTTAGAAAAAGGCAGACACTTTTTTGAAAGAAAGAAGGGAAAAAATCTGTGTACTCATGCGAAAAAATCAATTGAGTCCTAATACTTTTAAGTGAATCAACTAGGTGTACAAAGTGTTATTCAAGCGTTACCAACATACACTATGAATGTTTTTCTTCTACCGCATGAGCTTTGTAAGGAGATTGAAGTCCTAATGAATGGGTTCTGGTGGTTAGGCAAAGCTGGAAAAGGGATCCGTTGGAGGGACTGGGATTTCCTGTGTAAGCCAAAAAAGACAGGGGGCATGGGGTTTAGGAGACTTCGGCATTTCAATATTGCTATGCTCGCTAAACAAGCGTGGAGATTACTATCCGAACCAAATTCTCTGGTGGGTCGTGTTTTCAGAGCAAGGTATTATCCAGGTGGTAATTTTTTAAAAGCTAAGTTGGGAAATAATCCATCCTTTTGTGTGGAGGAGTTTGTTTGAGACACAGGAGGTTATTCGAGATGGATATCGTTGGCGGGTTGGGGACGGCAAGTCAATTCAGGTCTGGTCCGATCCTTGGTTACCGGATGAGGTAAATCCTTTGGTCACATCTACTCCTTATGCAGGCTTGGAAAACACGACAGTTAGCAACCTGTTTAGTGTGCATACTCAGGCATGGGATTCAGACATCATCCTTGACATCTTTAATAACAGAGATAGAACCCTGATTCAAAGTATCCCAACAAGCAAGCGTATGATACCTGATAAGCTGATTTGGAGATGGGAGGCTGGAGGAAGATTTTCAGTGCGCAGCTGCTATCGGAAATTGGTGGGTGAATTTCAAGCGGATTCTTGGTCAGAATGGACATCGATGTGGAATTGGAGACTTCCTCCAAAGATTAAATCGTTCTTTTGGCAAGCATGTGTAGATTGCCTCCCAACTACTGTTAACCTGGTGAGTCGAAGAGTGAACTGCCAAGTTAGGTGCGGACTGTGTGGAGCTGGGGAGGAAACGTTGCTCCATTTATTTGTGCGCTGTCCGGTGGCTATTGTGAGTTGGCGTGCCATGGGCTGGAGCAATTTTGAGCAGGTGGGTGGGTCGGCTGGATCTTTTCTCGAGTGGCTTCAGCGCGTTTTTCAGACGGAGAAGAAACCAGACCTGTCGAGGGTGGTGTGGGGCTGCTGGGGCTTATGGAGTGAAAGAAATATGAGGATTTGGCAAGGTTTGAGCTTGCAGCCCGCTCAGCTTGCTGCTCAGACGAAGAGCTTTGTTGACGGATGGCTGAAGGCTCAGTGTGGGAGGGTGGTGTTTAATCCAGAAAGAAAAGCCACGTGGAAGAAGCCAGACTTGGGTTTTGTTAAATTAAATGTAGATGCTGCTTTAAGGAAGGATAAAAGTGCAGGTGGTTGGGTCCTGAGAAATGATCAAGGGATTTTGTTGCTTGACGTGCACTTTGTCGTAGTGTGCACTCAAAATAATAATACAATACAACACTTATACGTAGTATAGCGTAATAAGGTTCGTATCCACAGGGAAAGGAATACTTTTCTTTTTATAAAACTAGTAACAAAATGGGGGGTTTTAGTTTGATTTGGTTTAATAAATTAAACACGAAGATGAACGAGTTATGTGGTTTAATAAATAAGAAGAAGACTTGGCTTTGCTTTTATCCACTTAATGAAATGTTCGTCGATCCCGGTTATATCTTTAACTATCTTCCTCTCGAATACTCAATCGAGGAGTATATCCAATTCATCGAGGGTAGTTATTAATAACGAGAAGCGTTCATTAATAAAACTTACTATCGAGTCAATATAGAACAAGCGCCGTATATTAACTTGATAGTAGCAATAAACTTAAGATGAAAACGATTGAGATTGATAACCTCAACACAAGCGGTTTATTGGTTTAATCAATATAATTAATTCCCCTTAGATTATTAACCATGAGATGCATGCATTAATAATCCAAGTTTACTACCATGAAAGGACCGAATTAATAACAAGCGTATTAATCGACCGATTCTAGTATTAATTAATATATGAAACAAAACTAGTTGATCCTTTAAGTAATGTTCAAAATATTAATATGAAATATGAATAGGAATTAATTAATACTCAAGAAAGAATATTAAAGAAGATGAATCTTACTATAGTCAATATCAAGATGTTAACTAATTGTCATCTTAGTAACACTCCCCGATATTAACGTAGAGGAAGAAATAACTATTACTATAACTAATGTCAAGATGTTAACTAATTGTCATCTTAGTAACACTCCCCAACATTGATATAGAAATAGTATTTAAAAGAAGAATTAATATTCAAGGAAGAAGATTAAAGATAATAACTCACAACTTACAAATTCATTAAGCTTCAAAGTAGCAAAACCAAGATGGAAGAGTTTAGCTCCTCATTTGGAGACTAAACATGCTATAAAAATATAAAAGAAATACTATTCTAAACTGAGCTTAAGAGTATGGAAGAAGGGATGATTAAAAGTGAAGGAAAATGGGGCTATTTATAGGTGTTTTTCAACACCTTTGGCCGGGTACCCGACCGGGTAAAGTGCCCACCCGACCGGGTGCATGTCAAAATCAAATATCCTACACGTTCTGGCGATCTTCGGCACGTTCTGGTGTTCCGGGTCAAGTCGGACCCGACCGGGTGAAATACCTCACCCGACCGGGTGATGTAATTTCCTGAGTACCTGCATCTGTTAAATCAGACCCGACCGGGTGAAATACCTCACCCGACCGGGTGATGTAATTTCCTGAGTACCTGCATCTGTTAAATCAGACCCGACCGGGTGAAGTGTCTGACCCGGCCGGGTCTGTTCACCTGGATATTTTTCTTCTTCTTTTCACTTCTTTTCCTTGCCAATAACTCTACTACTACTTTACAACTTACTAAAAATGATTAAAATCAATTACAAACAAATGAAGATGATTGCTTAAAAACTAACTAAAAACGGTAAACATCCACACAGAATAAATATAAAAACATACATTTATGCACTACAAACTAGTGCATATCAAATACCCCCACACTTGAATCTTTACTCGTCTCGAGTAAATGCAATCCAAAAAAAATCCTCAAATGATAAGATCATCATCCATCACAAAGTGTTTTTAGAACCAAGATAATCACAAAGTATCCCCAAACATAAAAAGAATACATCAAGGGGTCTTCAATTTCTTTTTCCTCATGCAATGAACTTCCTTTAGTAACCACCCTTAGGATCCTGCAAAATCAAAAGAAATATTTTCTCTCATTCTCTCATTTTGTCTAGGTGCCCTTTCGGGTTTTCAACCCAGCTTCCCACATTTTTCTTCAATGACTCTCACAGACTCACTCTTATTTTTGCTTTATTTTTGCTTAAGCTGCCCTTTGTGGGTTTTCAACTTAACAAGCTGTTTTTATTTCTATATATATATATATATATATATTTTTTTTTTTTTTTTTTTTTTAAAGCATGAATTAAGAGTATGAATGTGAGCATACCGGATAGATCTCCCCCACCGCTAGTCCATGGCACAGTCCCTAGTGCCCGCCCGCATCTCCGCCATCATAGAATCCTCCATGGCCCTGGTAGCCCCCAAAGTGTGCATCCTCCTCCATGCGATCACCACCGTATCCGTCGTCCCCCGCCTCCACCACTAGAGCTCGAACCGCCAAAATAACCCCATTCAGTGGGGTTATACCATGAGGGTGCCGGAGGAGGAGTAGTCATAGCGGCAAAGTCGCCCTGATGTGCTACATAGGAGTAGATAGGGCCAAAAGTCCTCCTCTGGTCCTCCTGATCTCTCCGCCGATCCTCCTCATACCGCTGCCAGTCTCTTTGTCTTTGCTCCTCTATCCTCTCGAAGCTCTGTTGTTGTTCAGTTCTATATAGTCCAATATCTTCTCGAAGTTTGGTATAGTTGAGGTTGAGGGCAGCCATACTATTGAGCATTTCTTGTTCAAATGGTGAAAATTGGTGAGCATTGGGTTGTGGCTGGGGTTGTGGTTGGGGTTGTTCGGGTAGGAGGGGTGGAGGTTCAACTGCGGCTTGATCATGGTGAGGTTCCTGTGGTTGATAATGGGGTGGGATTCTACCGGGGAGACAGTAATGATGCCCATCACCGGTTTGGTGATTCAAAAGGTCCAAGGGGAGGTCAGGAGGAGGTAGTTGGAAAAAAATGTCTTCAGGTGGGTCGATTAACCAGTTGTAGAAGTTAACCCCTCCGGGTGTTGTATGAGAAAATTTGACATCTTTGGTATTCTCCACAAGCCATTTTAGACAAATGAGTTGTTTTGTGGTAATGGGGCCGGGGTCTACAAAACCATATAGTGTGGCTAAATGTGTGATTAAGCCTCCCATCACAATTGCCCCTGTGGAAGTTGCCACTTTGTTGAAATGGGTCCACAGAATGGTGGCAACATCCACCTGATCCGGGCCTGGTAAAACAGCTTGTGAAAGAATACAAACATCCCATATCCTGGTGTGATGGTTATTTGGTCTTCCGAGAAAACAGTTAGATAAGAATTTCAAGAAAATTCGGAAGACCGGATGTTGTACACGATTCACACTAAGATGACGAAGATCAACATCTACCTGACCTGTCATCCTTTGCCATAACTCTCTACACCCACAAAAGTGTCGTAATCACGTTCTTCATCAAACAAGGGGAGGCCAAAGTGTTGGGCGAACTCCCGCTTGGTCAATGTACGGTCCTCATTTAGCAAACGAAATTTGATTGTACTTTCGGAATGGTCATCAACATTTGTAGTTTGCACAAATGAACTAAAAAATTCATATACCAAGTGTGGATAGGTAACATATTGCATCTCAAATACCCTAAGCATTCCAGTATTTGTGAAGAGTTCACGCATAATAGTATCAAGCATGAATGTCAATAGGGTAGTAATGCAAATGAAACGGGACTGTTTTACCTTCCGTTTTGTTTGCTCTATGAAGCGCTGCTTTTGGACCTCCGTGTCTAAATCCACAGTCTCAAAGCCTCTCACGGGTGAGATTGCCCTATTACTTCTTGAAGAGGATGCCTTTGATTTTCTTGGAGCCATGGAGTTTAATTTTTTTGGCTTTTTTATTGAGTGATTTTCGGACTTTGGAGTGGGGTGTAGTTTGGATGGTTTCTATGGGTATGGTGTTGAAGAGGGTGATGAGGAGAGCAAGAATATGGTATTGGTTAAGGATTTGTGGCTTGATTTCGGACCTTTAGTGCCCAAAAATGGAGATTTTCGAGTTTGGGGTAGGGTTTTGTGGGTTTGGTTGATTGGGTGGCTTTGGGAAGGATTTATGTGTATAGGGTGGAAGAGTGTGTAAAGAGGATGAAGAATATGGTGTTAATTGATGGATTTGGTGTAGAAATGGTGGGGTTTTGAAGCTTTGGAAATCAACAATGGAGGTTTGGGGGGAGTTTTGGTCGTGGGGGGGGAAGAAGAGCTGGGGAAGAAACCGCCCGCCCGCCCCCTTATCGGGCTCTTGCCCGACCGCCCGGCCAGGTATAATTACTGCCCGGTCGGGTGTAAGCTGTTCACCCAAGGCAGTGAGTTTTTGCCGGATTACCCGACCGGGTTTTGTGCCGGGACCGGTCGGGTCGTTTAATTCGCTTATCCAGTAGCCAATAATCAGATACACCCGGCCGGGTGAAATGAGGTACCCGGTCGGGTGTAAGCATGGTTTCCATTTTTTTTTCTTTTTGAAAATCTTTTCTCACACACAAAAATAAATGAAAATGATCAAAATAAAAACTTGGGTTGCCTCCCAAGGAGCGCTTGATTTAATGTCGCGGCACGACGTTATTTTTATTTTATTTTCTGTTTTAAGTGGGATCGTGAACATCCCTTTTTTCCTGCTTCAAGGCCCTGTTTGGCCATGTTTCAATTTTAGTTTTTGGCCTTTTCCAGTAAGGCCGAACTTTCTTCCTAGTTACCACCTCAATAGTAGGTGGTTTTCCTTTCAAAATAGATTTTTGGGGTTCTTCTTTAACAAAAATATTCAGTGTTGGTGGTTCAAAAACATTTAAAGAACAAAGAGATTGATTTTTAATTTGTTTTTTAGTAGAATCAAAGATGTTGAATTCTACTTTTTGGTTATCAAATTCTATTGTTAATGAACCACTAAACACATCAATTTTTGTTTTGGCGGTTTTCAGAAAAGGCCTTCCCAAAAGAATGGGTGTCGTTTGGTCATCATCCCCCATTTCAAGAACATAGAAATCAACAGGGAAAACCAAATTTTCTACTTCTACTAGCACATCTTCTTTTACACCTTTTGGGTAAATATTAGATCG